CCCCTGATGTGAATGTAATGTAATAAATATATATATATAAAATAATTTTACAGGGCTTGACACATTTGCTTTGAATCCAGGAGCCAGCTAAAAAAGTTGGGACAGGAGTGTGTGTGTGTGTGTGTGTGGGGGGGGGGGGGGGGGGGGGGCACTGTCACACACATCTTAGGAAGCACCAGTCCTCCCAGCTCTCACCTGTCCAGCAGCGGCCCCTGCAAATGGTGTCAGTGGAGATGATCTGGTGGTAGGAGGGGTAGCTGAGCCTGTGTCCTCCTGGTTGTTGTGGTCGATGGGGGAGGGGGTTGGCACCGTGCTGGAGATGGGGGGGTGTCCGCTGTCACACTGGTGGGGGGACTTGGTGGTCCCAAAGACTCTGGTCTGCATATAGTGCTCCTCCAGGGGAAGCAGTGTGTGTTGGTGGCCACTGCTGTCACGTTGAAGGTGGGCTCTGGCGTGCTGCCCTCTGAACACTTGTCCATTGCCGCATCAGTGGTATGGATGGGGTGGTTTGATTCAGAGGGCAATGGGCTCTTGGGGGGTGGTATTGGTTGTGTCCACTGGGGGGGCCAGCTTACATAGGACTGTGTGGTGGCTTCGGGGAATTTCTTTGCCTGGGAGAGGTGTGCCTCAGGGAGCTCTGCCTGGACTCGGGGAAGGATGGGGGGGCAACCCCGGGGGTCCCTGGGACACTGTGCTGGGCTTCACTCTATGGGGTGGGGAGAAGAGCCAAGGATGCAGGGTGGGAAAGTGTGGGCTGGCAGGGCCCAGGTGCCTGGGATTTGTCGAGCCCTCTCTCTGTGTGTGTGTGTCCTTATGCAGACGCACATGGATTCCTTTAATTCCTAAACTTGGTTCAAACACGTGCAAGCATTTTCAGTGCGACTCCACCCCCCCCCCGCCCCCCCCTTCATGTGCTGCATGTGGGGCAGCCCGTTCAATCTGCAATATGCATGAGAAACCCATTAACAGAGTCCTGGACCCTTTTCCAGAATGGTGCTGCACCAAAACGCATGATGCTGCCACACCATGGACATTGGTACACGCAGTAGGCTGGAAGTTCAGCCATTTCACATGTGTTGTGTGTTTTTTATTTGTTTTGTTTTTTTTTTTTTTTCATCGCTGTGATCAAAAATGAACATTGATATGAACACATTAAATTCTAAATGATCATTAGAAACCTCTATCTAATATGAATATCTGATTTGGCTCGCTCCTCTTATTCCTCAACCCGGTCTTGTGGCCGTCTGTGTCCCCTCTGGGCGGATTCTACCTCCCTGGTGACTATTGCCCCTGAGACAAGAAGTCCCCTTTTAACGGAATTATTACTTTAGGGTGGAATGGCCAATATATAAGAGAAGCTGTTGGTTGTTGGCCAATTCCAAGGGGTGGTGCCTGGACAAGGTCATCCAGCACCCAGGGCGAAGATGGCAAACTGCACTCCCCCCCCCTTCATTCACCATGTGCAAGCTTACAGGATCCTACGTCCAGCAGTCACTCGACTTGTCAAAATCCCTGCCGCTGTCACTACTCCTGCCAGCCTTGTAACAGACGAAAGGCGCCCCCATCCCTGCAGTAAACCACTGCGCCCAGGGCAGCTGTCCCTCCTGCCCACCCCTTGTCTCAGCCCTGCCTATGGGCCATTCAGGGACAACAACCATCAGCCCATGACAGGTTCTCTTTGTCGTGGTCTCCATTCCACACTGGCTGTTTCCTGTTCTCTGTGCAGTAAATGGACGGATAGAAGTCTGTTATTTCACTGGAGGGATTTCTCATGGTCAGCTCCTCCCAACTGCTGGAGGAGAAATGCCTCTCACTACAACTATTAATGTCAAGGTCTCGGGGACAACAACAAGAGGAGGGGAGGAAAGAGCAAATATTATGAAATACTGCCCATTATTTTTTTTTCCTACCTACCTTTTATTTTTTTTTTTTTTTTTTTTTTTTTTAACTTCCTGGTCAATTCTATATTTACTTGCCATCAAATGTTACATCCAAGTATTAAAACCTTAAAAATCCTGAACGACTTTTCCTACAGGTTGTGTACACGTCTTATAAAGTCGTATTTATGTGTCATATTCCCACAAGCTGATAAAGGAATGCTTTGGAGGTTTTTTCCATACAGTAAGACACAATGGATTCTGTTGTCGGCTGTCTTTTAGCACAGGAAGGTCTTTGGAGATCCCAGTGGGCGATAGATGAGTATGCCAACAAAATGAAAAGCTTTCACAAGGGAGTGTGTGAGAGTTGGGGTTACAGGGAAGGGTCATAGTTACAGGGGTAATCTGTGTTGGACTTACAGGGAAGGGTTGGTGTTGAGATTTCAGGAGGGTCATTGGTTTTTGTTATATGGGTCAGTGCTGGGGTTACACAGTGCTGGGGTTACACAGAAGGGTCGGTGCTGGGGTTACACAGAAGGGTCATTGTTACTGGGATCATCGGTGTTGGACTTGCAGGGAAAGGTCGGTGTTGGAGTTGCAAGGCAGGGTCGGTGTTGGACTTGCAAGGCAGGGTCGGTGTTGGACTTGCAAGGCAGGGTCGGTGTTGGCACTTGGAAGGAAGGGTCCGTGTTGGGGTTACAGTGAGGGTCATTATTCATGTTACTTGGGTCATCAGCGTTGGGATTACAGAGATGAGTTGTTGTTGGGGTTACATGGAGGGTTTGTATTGGGGTTACAGGGAAGGGATAGTGTCAGGGTTACAGGGAAGGGTCATTGTTACAGGGATCATCTGTGTTGGACTTGCAGGGAAGGGTCATTATTGTTGTTACATGGGTCATCAGTGTTGAGGTTACAGGGAGGGCTTGTATTGGGGTTACAGGGAGGGGTCAGCATTTCGTGATACAGGGAAGGGTCATAGTTACAGGGGTGATCTGTGTTGGACTTACAGGGAAGGGTCGGTGTTAGGATTCTAGGAGAGTCATTGTTTTTTTTGTTATATGGGTCATCAGTGTTGGGGTTACAGAGATAAGTCATTGTTGGGGTTACAGGGAGGGTTTGTATTGAGGTTACAGGGAAGGGACAGTGTTTGGGTTACAGGGAAGGGTCATTGTTACGGGGGTCATCGGTGTTGGTGTTACAGGGAAGGGTCAATTTTGTTGTTACAGGGGCCATCATTGTTGGGGTTACAGGAAGGGGTAATATTGGGGTTACAGGGAAGAAATGGTGTTGGGGTTACGGGGGGGTCTTTGTTGTTACAGGGGGTCATAACTGTGGTAACAGGAAGGGTCAGTATTTGGGTTACAGGGAGGAAATGGTGTTGGGGTTATGGGGGGGGGGGGCATTGTTGTTACAGGGGGTCATCATTTTTGGGGTTACAAGGAAGGGTTGGTATTGGGGGGGGTTGGCATTGGGGTTATGGGGGGTCGGTGTTGGGGTTACAAGGAGGGGCGGTATTGGGGTTACAGGAAGGGTAATTGTTGGGGTTACGGGAAGAGATAGTGTTGGGGTTAAGGGGGGGTCATTGTTATATGGGTTAATGTTGGGGTAACAGGGAGGGTTGGTATTGGGGGGGGGTTGATGTTGGGGTTACAGGGAAGGATTGGTATTGGGGTTACGGGGGGTTGATGTTGGGGTTACAGGGTGGGTCGGTATTGGGGTTACTGGAAAGGAATAGTGTTGGAGTTACAGGGAAGGGTAATTGTTGGGGTTACGGGAAGGGATGGGGTTAAGGGAGGGGGGGTTCATTGTTATATGGGTTAGTGTTGGGGTTACAGGGAAGGGGGATGGTATTGGGGTTACAGGGAGGGTCAGTTTTGATGTTCTAGGGAAGGGTCTGTGTTGGTCTTTCTGAGAGGGTAGGTGTTAGGGTTGCAGGGGATTTTAGTATTAGAGGGATGGTTTTATATGAGTGAGTTGTGTGGGTTTTTTTTTTTTTTTTTTTTTTTTTTTTTTTTTTGTATCGATTTTTAAATCTCACTTTTTTTTTTTTTTCTTGTAGTTAAACAGGAATCTTTAAATTTTTTTCTTTATTACATTTCTGTAATTTTTATCACTAAATTTAAATATAGAATTTGCCGACGTTCCCTGATAGTGACTATGAAAATAATGGGAGGTACTTTTTTAATTTGAGAAGGAGCTGACTACAGGAAAGCAGCTTTGGAAGGTCTTCTTCATTTCTAAAGGTGCAGAAATGTTGTCGTTCTTCACGTCCTATACATGTCCTTCAATATGTAAGTAGAGGTGCAATGCTCTGCAGCAGAGGAATTTTCCATTCTACAGATTGCTGTACCCGGAGCTCAGGTTACAATCCTCACACCTATGAGTCATGACTGTCCCTCCAGAGTAGTCTGATCCTCTGCGTGTTGTCACCTATTCTCTATAAATAATGCACTGAGAATACAACTGCCTGTAAATATATGTCTCAGATATCTCTTGGAGACACGCTACCAGGAGGTCTGCATATAGACATGATGCCACCCTAGGCACGTACATCATGACTGGTGTCACCAGCACAGGAAGTGAGGGGGAATCTCTCCAATGATGGCACAGCCCTCAATAAAAAGTCCTGAAGGGTTAGAATTCATTGCTGTCTGCATCCCATTGGAGAGATTCCCCACCAGGAGTACAGATATCACACCGGAGATGGATTTAATATATCTATGGCCAAAACTTGGTTTTCAGCAGAATAGGGAAGGGTTTAAACTTTTGTCCGGGTTATATTTTTTGCTGTGTCCCCATTGGAGAGATTTCCCTTCACTTCCTGTCCCTCATACAACAGCATATGAGCGGAAATCTCTTCAAATGATTCAAAATCCTCTCATTTAGAAGTGCTGGTATCATTGCCACTCCTCTGAAAAGCAATCTGCAGTGGATTGAAAGTGTGGGTGGGTGGGTGGGTGGGTGGACGGGAAGTGGCTGAAAGAGGCTGGAGGGGATCAGCGGGGGGAGCTGGAGAAAAATGGTAATAACAAGCACGGAGAACAATGGCAATTGCTATGAACCATTGTGTACAGAGGAAACTAGATGTCCCCCATTTACATGTTTCCTAATTCTCCTTTTCAGGAATGCAGCAAGAAAAAGAAGAAAGAAGAGGGGGAGAACTCAGAACTTCAGGAAACCGCATCGGGGCTGGGAGACGGAGACGAGGTGAGGACTGGTCTTATCGGAGACCTTCAATGTGTCCTGGCAGATGGGAGCCCGGCGGTGGGTCACACACCCACTCTGCACCTTATCTGTGCCGGCAACCTGCTGCTCTCCGCCTGTAATGTGGCTGAGAAAAGACTTTCTTTTCTGCTCTCTGCATGTCCAGAAGTTCACTGCATGCCATCCAGGGCCACCATGGGCCACCATTAGAAACTCGTAGGGCCCTGTACAGCCAGCCTCGCAGTATGCCCCCCCCCCCCTAGAGTTTTCCCATGACCCCCACTATGACGCATTCTGCACCCTTTGCATCCCCATTACACCTCGCTCTTTTGCCTTTGCATTCCACCACTACTCCAACCCTCTGCACCCCCTGTATCCCCACTACTTGAACCTTCTGCACCCCCTGTAGGCACGTACTTCAACCCTCTGTATCCCCCACTTGAACCCTCCGCACCCCCAACCCTACTGCACCCTCTGTATCCCCACTACTCCAACCCTCTGCACCCTCTGTATCCCCACCACTCTGTATCCCACCACTCGGCGGACTGACCATTTGGAAACTCGGGCACTGCCCGAGGGCCCGGGGTCAGTAGGGGGCCCCATGAGATGCTCCTGGTACCTTTTTCATAGGCTTTTTTGTTTGGGCAAGGACACAGGGGCCCCATGATCCCCTATTGCCCGGGGGCCCCATGAGTTGTCAGTCCGCCCCTGCCACCACTTCAACCCTCTGTATCCCCACTACTCCAACCCTCTGTATCCCCACTACTCCAACCCTCTGTATCCCCACTACTCCAACCCTCTGTATCCCCACTACTCCAACCCTCTGTATCCCCACTACTCCAACCCTCTGTATCCCCACTACTTCAACCCTCTGTATCCCCACTACTTCAACCCTCTGTATCCCCCACTACTTCAACCCTCTGTATCCCCACTACAACCCTCTGCACCCTCTGTATCCCCACTACTCCAACCCTCTGTATCCCCACTACTCCAACCCTCTGCACTTTCAATACTAAAACCCTCTTTGCAACCCCCCCAGTACTTCCCACTATCGCCAACACTGTACCAACCCACTGCACTTCAATGACTCTTTGCAACCCCCCCACAGTATTCCCACTACGCCAACACTGTACCCCCACTTCTTCATGATCTGCACCCCACTACTCCAACACTGTATCCCCACTTCTTCATGATCTGCACCTCCTTCCTGCATCTGCAAAACTCCAGTGCTATGAACCCCCCTGCATCCCACAGAACTACTCCACGTTCTGGAACCCACACTATTCCAACATTCTGCACCCCACTATCCCAAAACTCTGCACCTTTTGCATCCCCACTGCTCTACCATCCTGTATCCCCCAATATTCCCAACAATCTGCACCCCCTGCATGCCACACTACTCTACATTCTGTACCCCCTGTATCTCTCAAGAACACACGTTCTGCATCCCCCATTACACCAACACTCTGCAACCCCCTTCATCTCCCACTTCTCTCTCTGTACCTCATTCTATCCCCATTACAACTCCCCCCCCCCCTTCCATTACACCTCACTCTGTACCCCCTGAATAACTTGTACTCTGCATTCCTCCATCACCCCCCACACTTTGCACCTCCTGCATCCCACATTACACCTCTCACTGCATCCCTTGACATTTTGCCCCCCTGCCAGTCCTATCTGGGCTGTCCCCATATCTGGAATTTGCTCAGGAATCTGAATTCGAAACTTGAGGTGTGTGAGTATGTATATAATATATGTATGTGTGTGTATATGTGTACATACATACATACATACATACATGTATATAATATATATATGTGTGTGTGTGTATGTATACACACACAGTTGCAAGAAAAAGTATGTGAACCCCTTGGGATTACGTGGAGTTTTGCATGAATTGGGCATAAAATGTGCTCTGAACGTCATCTAAGTCACAACAATAGAAGAACACAGTCTGCTGAACATAATACTACACAAACATTAGATGTTGCCATGGTTTAATTGCACATAACATGTAAACATGCACAGTGCAGGGAGGAAAAAGTATGTGAGGCCCTAGCTTAATTACTTCTCCCAGAGCTAATTGAAGCCAGGAGTGAGCCAACCTTGACTCCAATCAGTGTGATGATATTGGATGTGTTGCTGACAGCTGTCCTGCCCTTAAAAAACACACACCTGTTTTGGGTTTACTGGTTTCAAGAAGCACTGTCTGATGTGAACCATGCCTCGCAGAAAAGAGCTCTCAGAAGACCTACGATCAAGAATTGTTGACTTGCATGAAGCTGGAAAGGGTTACAAAAGTATCTCCAAAGCCTTGATGTTCATGTGTCCCGGTAAGACAGACTCTCTACAAATAGAGAAAGTTTAGCACTGCTGCTACTCTCCCTAGGCGTGGTCGTCCTGTAAAAATGACTGCAAGACACAGCGCAGAATGCTGCATGAGGTAAAGAAGAATCCCAGATTGTCAGCTAAAGACCTACAGAAATCTCTGGCACATGCTAACATTTTTGTTGACACATCTACAATAAGGAAAAACATTCAACAAGAATGGAGTACATGGGAGGACACCACGGAGGAAGCCATTGCTGTCCAAAAAGAAGATTGCAGCACGTTTGAAGTTTTCAAAAGAGCACCTGGATGTTCCACAGCACTACTGGCAAAATATACTGTGGACAGATGAAACCAAGATTGAGTTGTTTGGGAAGAACACACAACACTATGTGTGGAGAAAAAAAGGCACAGCACACCAACATCAAAACCTCATCCCCACTGTGAAACATGGCGGAGGGAGCATCATGGTTTGGGGTTGCTTTGCTGCCTCAGGGCCTGGATGGATTGTTGTCATTGATGGGAAAATGAATTCCAGAGTTTATCAAGACATTTTGCAGGAAAAACGTGCGACCATCTGTCCGCCAACTGAAGCTCCGCAGAGGATGGGTGATGCAACAGGACAATGACCCAAAGCATACAAGTAATTCAACAAAACAATGGCTGCAACAGCACAGAATACGCCTTCTGGAGTGGCCCAGTCAGAGTCCTGACCTCAACCCAATTGAAATGCTGTGGCATGACCTTAAGAGAGCGATTCACACCAGACATTCCAAGAATATTGCTACACTGAAACAGTTTTTTGTGAAGAGGAGTGGTCCAAAATGACTCCAGATCGTTGTGCAGGTCTGATCTGCAACTACAGGGAAACGTTTGGTTGAGGTTATTGCTGCCAAAGGAGGGTCAATCAGTTATTAAGTCCAAAGGTTCACATAATTTTTCCTCCCTGCACTGTGAATGTTTACATGTTATGTGCAATTAAACCATGGCAACATCTAATGTTTGTGTAGTATTATGTTCAGCAGACTGTGTTCTTCTATTGTTATGACTTAGATGATGTTCAGAGCACATTTTATGCCCAATTCATGCAAAACTCCACGTAATCCCAAGGGGTTCACATACGTTGTTGTGTGTGTGTGTGTGTGTTTTTTTTAGTGTGTGTGTGTGTTATGTTTGTGTGTTGTGTGTGTGTGTGTGTGTGTGTGTGCGTATATATATGTGTATATGCGATTCTGCTTTAAAATAAAAAAAAAAAAAAAAAAAAAAACAGTGTGTGTTTTTATTTATATTAGTGATTTCTATATTTCCGGCTGGGGGAGTCCTACCCATGCCGCCATTTGCAGTAGCGGCTGTCAATCACCGGGTTTCCAGCCAGTGATTCCCTACAGGTGTCTGGTGATTACGGAGGATCTCTGATGGGGAGAGTAGAGCTGTTTTTGTTTACTAACAGTTCTCCTCATTGTCAGCTCGGACACACTGCACAGCACAGCCATCCAGAGCAGGGTGCTTATCATGAAGCACACAGACACCGCCACCTAGTAAAACACACTCCCAGCACACAGTTAACCCTTTGATAGCCTCTCATATTAACCCCTTCCTGCCCAGTGCCCACTAGTCAGTGCTTTTTTTTGTTCCCCCCCCCCCCCCCCCCCCCTTTTTAGCACTGATCACTGTATTGGTTTCACTGTGGATGTCAGTGACACTACGTCATGTTCCCCCCCCCCCCCCCCCCCCCTCCTCCAGTGTCAGAATACCTGCTGCAGTCTCGCTATAAGTTGCTGATCGCTGCTATTCCTAAAAAAAAAACAATTCCAGTGTATGTATACCGCCATTTGTAAACAATATACCTTTTAAACCAATTAATTAATTTACACGTATTTCGATTTTTATTTTAGCAAAGACACGAAGCAGAATACATTTTGGACGAAAGTTATGACTAAATTTCATTGTTTTTTTTTTTTTTTTTTTTCAATGGACACTTTTCAATAACAAAAAGTCAAAAATATTGTGGGGTTTTTTTTTGTTTTGTTTTTTTTTTTCTCAAAATTGTTAAGATTTCTTTTTATAGTGCAAAAAAAAAAAAAAAAAACCGCAGAGGCAATCAAATACCACAGAAAGAAAGCTCCATTCGTGAAAAAAAAAAAAAAACCCCAAACATTTCATTTGGGTGCAGTGTTGCACTACTGTGCAATTGTCAGTTAAAAGTAACGCAGCGCCATAATGCAAAAAATAGCGTGGTCAGGAAGGGGGGGGAGGGAATCCTCTGGAGGGCGAGGGGTTAATATGTTACTCTAACTTTTTTAAAGTCCTTTTTTTAAACTCTTTTTATATCCACTTTCATTTAAATAATCCCTGATGATCCTGCCATGAAGTTCCTTGTTCAGGTACTTCCAGTCATGGGATGACAACGCTCTGTCCTTGTCTCCCAATTGTCCTCTTATGATGTCACCAGCGCCCCCCCTGTGGTGCCTACATAGGGCCGTGCAGACATGACCTTGAACTGATGCTTTCTAGTTCTAGCTACATTTAGTTACTCTGAGATGACAACCATTTCCACCTCCTGAAGTCTTTCCTTTTCATTTCCTTCTAGAAAAGTGAATTCCACCGTCTTGCCGACGCTCGCATCTTCCTGAGCGACTGCCTGGCTTGCGGCAATTGCGTGACGTCCGAGGAAGGCGCCCGTATTTTCGCACAAAAACCAGAAGGAGCTCTTCAACGTCTTGAGCCTCAACAAGGTACGGTGGGTTGCTGGTGGGTGGGATAGGACAGACGATGATGCCATCCTCAGAAACTCAATAATTGTCCTCCCCATTCTTTCTTTTTTCTTCTTCCTTTCTTTTTTTTTTTTTTTTCTTTCCCCTTTTTTTTTTTTTTTTCTTTCTTTTTCCTTTCCTTTTTGTCTTTTTTTTTTTCCAGAGATGTGACGCTTCGCTCCACAGGTTTGGTGGTGGCCTCCGTGAGTCCACAGTCCGTGCCTTACTTTGCCGTGAAGTTCCATCTGTCCGTCTGTGAGGCGGCTAGAAAGCTCTGTGGGTTTTCTGAAAAGTTTAGGTGAGCTGTTGGCGCAGTACAGATTGCACAAGACATTTTTGCATTTGCAATTTTTATTTATTTTTTTCAATTTTAGTTCCACAACAGCTGGAGTGCCATGCTTGCCCACTCCATGTTCCTTCGCTCCTCCTCCAACAGCTACGTACATATGTCATATGGGGAGGTAATGCGAGGGGCAGAAGAGCTGGGCCAGCACAGCCCACAAACTTGACACTCGAGGAGAGGGCTAGGACATGGAAGGGGGGAGTTGTGCTAGGGAATTATCTAGTCAAATTTGCTAGGAAGATCAGAGGCACACTGCAAAGTACTGGTAATTAAAAAAAAAAAATACTATTTTTCTGTGCTTTTTATTTATTGTATTTAAAAATGAAAATGAAAAAAATAAAATATAAATTATATATAATATATATATATATATATATATATATATATATATATTGTTGTGTGTGTGTGTTTTTTTTTTTTTTTTTTTTTAACCTGCAACTTAATAAAGAAACTCCAGGGAAGGGGATGCATTTAAAATCTGCCAGCATATAGGGAGGTGTATGGCATCTCCTGGATCTCTCTTTTGTCTGTCTGTACGTCTTGTCAACAACGGAGGACCAGTAGTGTAGCTTTAAGGAGGGCTACAGCCCCCCACACCCTGTCTGCAAATCATTCTGTGATTGGTCAAGAGGAGAGGAGGAGGGGATGTGTTGGAGCACCGAAAGTCTAGCAACAGCTGTACTACCAGCGCTACACCTCTTGCAGAAAAATTTTAATTTTTTTTTTTCTCTTTTCCTGGAGTTCGTCTTTTAAGTTGGTGACAGGTTCTTTTTTTTTTTTTTTTTTTTTTTTTTTTTTTTTTTAAGGGGGACTCTTCCGCTGAACGAACTGATTGTCTGTGTACTATATGCCGGTCTATTCTTTCTCCCTTCAGGCGTCCATCATGTTTTTGACACGACGATCTCGGCAGATTTCAGCATCCTGGAGACGCAGAAAGACTTCATCCAGCGGTTCCGGCGGCAGACGCAGGACGAACACGCCTTCCCCATGTTTGCGTCAGCTTGTCCCGGTAAGGAAGACGCTCGATCTGACAGTCGAGACTTTGGCGTGACGGCTTTGAGGAACTGCTTGGCTGTGACCACATCCAGTTTCTTATAAAGGGTCTTTCCACTTTCAGATCCCTTTACTCCACAGGCTTGGACTCGCCTTCCTGAAACTTTTGCTGACTCCGTCAATTTTCTGATGTGCCGTCCTCCTGTGGAACTTTGTCATACATTCCTCTCTTCCAGTCGGAAGGATTTTATATTGGTCACCCTCGCTCTGCTCCTTTTACAATTCCACCTCCAATGCAGGCACACCAGATGAAATAACAAATCAGGCTTGCAATGTAGAGACATTGCAAGCCCAATTTTTTGTTATTTCAGCTGGTGTGCAGGGAATGATGGGGATTTAAAGTCTATCTAAGCAATTTTTTTTTTCCATTTGTTTGCATAAAGTATTGCATAGTGCGTTTTTTTTTTTTTTTTTTTTTTTTTTTTTTTTTTTTTTTTTTTATTTTTTTTTTTTTAGGGGGGGGGGGGGGTGGCCTTCAGACACAACAGGTTAGGCTACTTTCACACTGAGGAGTTTGTGAAGCATTTTTGCATTTAAAAAAAAAAAAAGCACCTGGAGAAACTCAAGAAAAATGCTTCCCTGTGTTCATCTATGTATGTTTTCACACTGCGGCGTGAATACTTCTGCAGCATCTTTGGAGCATGTTTGTTCAGTTAAAAAAAAAAAAAAAAAAAAAAAAAAAAAAAAAAAAAAAACGCCCCAAACTCGCCTCTTCTCATTGAAATCGGTGAAAAGCGCATGAAAAATGCCCCCGAGAAGCGTTTTTGGGTGCAGTTTTTTTTAAGTCACGTGTCCTTTTAAAAAAAACAACAAAAAAAAAAAAACACTCAGTGCAGCAAAAACATATATGCAATTTTGCAGTGGATCAATGTGAAAGCAGCCTAAGTAAGAGGAAATCCCCCCACCCTTCTTTTTTTTTTTTTTTTTTTTTTTTTTTTTTTTTTTTTAAATGTAGGTGTTCCCATTGAAAGGTTTCCCCTTACCTATTGTTGGGTGACAACTCAAAGTGTTTGGGTTTCCCCTTAATGACAGTGGCCATGATCCCTAGGTCAAATGCAGAGAGGATGACTGCCCTCAATGGGAACTGCAGTAAAAAAAAAAAAAATCAGTGTTTACTTCCTGTTCAATCCCCCCCCCCCCCCCCCCCCCCAAATCAAAATGCTAAATGCTTTGTAAATGAGACCTTTCCATTACATAGCTTATTTTTTAACTGCTGATGTCATCACTGGGTCCCTGTACTTCTCTATGCAATGAAGGCAGATCATAGCTGGTGGGAGGGGCTGGCTGGGTGATGTAGAGGGTGCTTCCTGAAATAGATCACAGCACCTTTTCCCCCCCCCCCCCCCCCCACTGCTGTAAGTAGTAGGAAGAGTTGGGCAAATATCAAAATGCCTTGATGAGTGAATGTCCAGTGGGTTCCTAGTCAGGTTGTATTTGCATGGTAATGCTGAGCCTCCATAATGGAAAGAACTGAAACCCATTGAATGAAAGGGGCGGGGCTAGGGACAGTCAGGCTGGGGAGGAAAGAGATAGATGATGCTGGGCATCCTCCAGCCAGGACATGAGGCGGGGTTCTATCTGACTGGCTGCAGCTTCTAATGCACATTGTGAGGAGCTCAGAGCGTGCGGCGATATGAGAGGAGCCGGTACAAGTGTGGAAGACTGAAGGCCGGACGTCGGATTTAATGACATCCTTTCGCACCGACTCTCCATGTTATCAAATATTTATTGGAAACGTTTAGCCAAAGCTGTGTGGAGGTCGGAGTCCAGATAAGAGACGCAGTTTATCGGGAAGAGCGATGACGTCTGCTGTGTAAGGGGGGGGGGGGGGTCCAGAATAGATGAGGATTTGCTGTGTCGGCTTTTATTCCCCGTCATGGCTTCTTCCTAGCCAGCAGGTTAATTCCCATCACCTGCGGCACACATCTGATCACATTGGCACCGCCGCAGAACCCGTACCGCATTCACATTTATTTAAAATTTGAATTTCAGAAGGTTATATTCTATTTTATTCTATTTTTTTTCTTTTCTATTCAAATTTTGGAAGACCATTCTATTGTGTGTTTTTTATGTTTTTTTTTTTTTTCTATTTTTTTTCTGTTCTATTTTCTATTTTATTCTTCTATTTTCTTTTTTTATTTTTTCTCTATTTTATTTTATTTTTTTTTTTTTTTTTTTTTTCTCTTTTTTTTTTTTTTATTTTTTTATTTTTATTTTTTTTTTTTTTTTTTTTTTTTTTTTTTTTTTTTATTTTATTTTATTTTTTTGTTTTTTTATTCTTTTTTTTTTTTTATTTTTATTTATTCTTTTCTTATTTTATTTTCCTTTTTTACTTATTCTATTATATTTTGAATTTGATTTTCTAATTCGATTTGAATTTCGGACATGATTTTGTTTCACTATTTCGGATTCATTTAAATTCATCACTATTGTAATTTGGATACATTCGAATAACAAAAACCTCATCTGAGTTTCGATATGGAATGAACCGCAGATGTTTAACCTGCATGTGACCTGTTATCAGCCTCTTGCAGTATCTGTACAGCGGGACTGGAGTGTGAGAGGAGGAAGCAGCACAAGCACAGTTCATGTGCCGACAAGAAGCTTTTTTTCCAGTGTATGAGGGGCCCACCTGACCTAAAGAGCCCCGGGCCCCTCAAGGTCCAAATCTGGCTAAAATCTGGTACTGGATAAATGTTGAATCCTGAGCTCCCTGCTGAATTTTTTTTTTTTTTTTTTTTGTGTGCGTAGCAATCCACTTAGTTGGATTGCTATGCACACAAGCTGGGGGTCTGTAAATCAGATCAGATTAATTTTAACATTAGTTTTCTTAAGGCTGCTGCTGATTGTTTTTTTTTTTTTTTGTGTGTTTTTTTTCCCCAGGGGGTAAGGTACACGTAGTATTTTGTCCCACCTTCCTATCTGCTGCCTAAGGCTAACTGCATAGTTTGGGCCACAGCTGTCCGACCACACGTCTAGCAAGGAGACAGTTGCTGTGATAGTTGTTGTCAGTTTTCTTTGCCTCCAAGCACTTGCCTGATACAAGCGTCTCTCGAGGAATGTTTTTTTTTTTTTTTTGTCAGCTTAAAATTCCCATGCAAGCAGGCAAGTGCTTGGAGACAGAGAAAAGTCCCATCTGTCAAAGCAGCCATCTCCTTGCTAGCTGCCCCCCCCCCCCCTTTTTTGGCCGCCCAACAATGCAGCTGTGTTGTTGGACAGACATGAGAAGGGACAGCTAGAAAGAAGACGGCTGCTTTACCAGATGGGACTTTTCTCTATCTCCAAGCACTTGTTTGTCAGTAAAATGGTCCAAACAAGCGGGCAAGTGTTTGGAGAAGGAGAAAAGTGCCACGTATCAAAGTGGCTGTCTCCTTGCTGGCTGCGTCATTGGATGGCCGTGGAGAGCAGCTAGCAAGGAGACAATGGCTTTGACAGATGGCACTTTTCTCCATCTCCAAGCACTTGCTTGTCAGCTAAAATGTTCCCAGCATGAGGCTAAGTGCTTAGAGACAGGCCCTTCTTAATGGGCACCCCAGGTGCATGGGAACCCCTTGATCATATTCCATTACATCATGCTTGCCAAGTGTCCCGGATTTGCTGGGACAGTCACGCCTTTTACTAAGCTGTCCCGTAACCTGTACTGTCACCTCCTGAGACAGGCCCTTCTTAATGCATTTTTTTTTTGGGCACCAGGTGCACGGGGACCCCTTGATCATATTCCATTACATCATGCTTGCCAAGTGTCCCGGATTTGCTGGGACAGTCCACGCTTTTTACTAAGCTGTCCCGGAACCTGTACTGTGACCTTTTGAACACCCCCCCCCCCCCCCCCCCCCCCGGTACAGTGACCTTTGTGTTGATTAGTCTTTTTTTTTATGGCAATTTTTTTGTTTGAAATCTATTTTTTTTTATTGAAAGTACTAATAAATATATGTTTAATTCTATCAACTATTTAGACTTTAATTCTTATGAGCAG